TCCTGCAGGGCTGCCTAGTGTGTCAATGGCTGAATACAGTGAGCTCAAGGTGAGCCAGGACCCAGGCTGTCCTGCAGGGCTGCCTGGTGTGTCAGCATGACTGTGAGCACTCAGTAGAACTGCGATGCAGCTTTCGAGTCATTGAGCTCTCACAGGACAGTTCCCATGTGAGAAAACAGGCTGAGGTTAAGGAACAGCTCTGCTCTCTCATCCTCTGGGAAGCACAGACCCCGTGGCTCTAAAACCCATGTCCACAGCCAGAGTATCTCCTAGGATGTCTCCTGTCATGGAGCCCTCAAGCCTGTCTCCTCCCTTGAGCATCCCTGCAGCCTCAGAAGAGACTGAGTCAGTGTCATCTAATACTGAAGGCTGAGCCAAAGGATGGTGGACAATGATGTGCTGAAGAGGGTATGATGTAACTCTGCAGACACGAGGACAAGGGCTTAAGTTTCTCCTTTTCTAACCCCAAATCCAACCATCGTGTTTGGGGTTACTCAGTGCACTGTAGAAGATGGTGATGTGTCACACTCCCCATGTGTGCTGAGCACATGTAGTATTTATCTTAACACACAAATCTACAAATTATCGCCCATGCCATGGCTCCACACCGAAGGGCTTCTGGAAAAATTGTTGGTTGTTGCCATTTTACAACCAAAGCGCCACCTTCCTTTTCATCTCCAGACATCAGATGCCCACCCACCCCCCAGCCCTCTGATCTGTGCTTGGCAGTCTCTTCCATCTCTGGCACTGTGTTTCCATGTGAAATGACTCACTTGGTCATCAGACCGTGTCAAAGACAGCTAGACAGGGAAATGAGCTACACAGGTGCTGCCTAAGTGAGAGAAAGTGCTGATGGGATTGTCTCAGTGTTCTCATTTCTCCTTCCCTCATGGGACAGTGAAAGCCATCACCTGGCAATGGAAGTTTTTACATTTGTCACACATCACCTGAGAATAAAGGTGCCAGACCCTGTCTAGAAGCATGGGTATGATGGTCAGATCACCATGGCCTGAGAATAAAGGTGACACACGCCCTCCCTCCCAGACACTCTCTAGAAGCACAGGATTGATGGACAGATCACACATGGCCTGAGAATAAAGGTAACACACGCCCTCCCTCCCAGACACTCTCTAGAAGCACAGGATTGATGGACAGATCACACATGGCCTGAGAATAAAGGTGACACACCCCCTTCTCTCCCACAGCCTCAGTTTCTCTAACCAGAAAGAGATTTATTTAGGTTGCTGAATTTCCTAGGAGAATCCTTTTCAATTCCCCCTTTTAAAGAATGATCTCTTAGTCTTTCTGGGGATTGGAGTCTAACCTTATAATGAAAACAAACATTCTTTTTCTTCTATTTCTGTGAGAAAACTTGGAAATTTAAGATGTACATTCCAAATGTACCATAATCTCCACTGAAATCTGATGTCACTGGTAAAATCTGAGGTCACACTGTGAAAAAAGCTTTGGCTCTGGAATCAGCCCTGGCCTCTGAGTCGCTGCTACCAGTCCCTTTCTGGTTGCTTAGAAGAGGGGGAGGCTGGAACTCAGCTCACTGGTCCAGTGGTTCCCACACTTACTGGCAGCTGACTGTTCTTTGTCAAATTGGCAGGAGTGTATATATTCAGGTAGAGACAGTCTTCAGAAAACTGTAGAGGGATGTTCTCCTTTCTGTTGGTGAAAAGTTCTGAGAGCATCTGTCCTCCAGCTGCATCTTGGAAGCACCTGGGAGGGGAGAGAGAATATCTGAGGTTCCACTAGATTGAAGTTTGGGCTTATTACCCCGGAGTTGACCTTGTACTTGGAGTTTTGAGCATATAACTGAAGTTATTCACATGGGACTGGAGTCATTGTCAGGGATAAGAGACTCTTTATAGGTTCCTGGTGGGACTTCTGAGATGCTATATTCTCCCACGACTGCAGAAGCAGCACTTTGTATCTCTCCCTTCCTGGAGCCTTTGAGGTGGACCATGAAGAGAGACTCTCATGTGCTGACTGCCCTAGACGGTGACACTCGTTGCACTGTCTGGACAAGGTTTGCTCACTGGGCTGTGAGATGACAATGTAGGTAAACACGCTCTTTCTTGGGAAACTTCCATGAAACAGGAAAATGACCTGCAGTGACAGGCAGCCTATTACAAGTCAGAGATGCCATCTTTGGGGGACACCACAGGAAGACATCCTTCTGGTTCTGTCTCTACCACTGATCTGCTGGGTAATCTTGGCTAAATTCCTTGCTTGCTCTGGCTTTAGCCTGCCATGGCCAGGTGAAGTGAGTGCTGTCTCCAAGCACCTCCCCATCTGGCCTGCTAAAGGTTCTTTCATCCTCCTATCCCAGCAATAATCATCATGGGCTGCCTGATTAAGGGTTCCACAAGTCCAGTGTAGAGTGGAGTTGGTAGCCATAATTGAGTTCTATGGAGTTCCAGGCACCAATAAGCATCACCTTGAACAGAAAGTCATTTAAGTCTCTCACTAGACCCAAGTGTCCGTGATCCTGTTTCACAGATGGGGTCTGGCTTCCAGATTGTCAAATAGAAACTGGAGGTGCTCAGACCACATTCTTCCATAGCTGTCCTGTGATAGAAACAGAAAAGGAAAGGTGGCTTTCAAAATGTCTCTAGTCTAAATAATTTTCCTACCCAGTGGGAGAAAGAAGCACAATTCACAGAAATAGAAAATAAATATCCAATGAGGGATGACAAGTTCAACTTCATTAGTGTTTAGAACCCACAAATGAAGACCGACATTGCATTATTTTATTTTTACAACGTTTTGCTGCTTATCCATTATATACATTTTTTTGAGCAAGGCTAAGCCTGGGGAAAGTTCCACTGAATGAAAGTTTTCTTATTTCCCCGGAAAAGTGTGTGCAGCTTAGATATTTCTGGAGACAAACTGATCAAATTCCTACTCTTTAATTTAGAAATGTTACTTCTTGAACTTATTCCCAATTCCCATGATTGTGTGCAATGATTTGGTTACAACAAACTTATCACAGTGTTGTTAAACTGTTAAGAACATTAAAAGAACTTAACCCAAATAAAATATTAGGTGTATAAAGTCTAGTTTCATCCCTAGTTAATATAACCACTAAACATTGGTTGCTACATTTATAGTGTAGAATAATGTCAATGTTATAAATGTTATCCAAATTTTCTGTCTCTTTAATCCTTGTATAAAGGAGGACAAACACAAACAAAAGGCTGGAAAATAGAAGCTCAAATGCTAGCAGAAATTCTGTGTAGCTGACTTGTACATGATGTTTAACTTTCTTTACATTTATTTCTTCATTTTCCCCTGACTTCAGTTTTCAGTATTTACGTCTTATATTTGCAATCAGAATGGGAAAAATAGCAAGTAATATTTTTAGAAGAAATGAATGCAATGATAAGGAGACAGCCAGAAGTGGAATCTTAGGAAACCTCAACACTCCCTTGCTGAGGGCACACGTACTGTCTGCACCGACATATTTAGGAAGCTGTCTGGACTCCGTGGACTTCTCCACTTGGTTCCTACGTTAACTGAGGGACACTAGCTGCTGCACAGCTGTGACTAGATGGCTGTGCAGACATGGGTGTGAGAACTTGCAGTCACCCTCACTCTTCACCCATACAGCCCCGCCCACACACTCTCAAGCAACACTAAGGTTCTAGACAGGAGAGTAAGGTACCTTACTTCATCCCCTCTACTCTGAAAGAAGCCTACCCCAGTGGCTTACATAGGAGGGTAGGAGGTAGCATTCTTCACGAAGCTCCAGGGCTCTGCAGGCTGAGGTGGAGCAAACCTCAGGGATCGAAGAGGAGGCTTGGCAAAGGGGACTCCCAGGAAGACGGCCACAGGCTGTGCGAATCCTTTTAAACTGACATATTTCCCCAGGACTTTGCCATGAGCAGTGTTGACCACGGGTGGTGAGGACGGGTGCCTGCTGGACAAGAGAAAATGGGAACACATCAGTAAGGAAAAGGCAGACCTGCATTGCTTGTGAGTTTGTCACTTTAGGACTGATGGCATTGATAAAATCATCTGAACCCTTCTGGAACACGCCTTTAATCCCAGTACTTGGGAGGCAGAGGTAGGTGGATCTCTGTGAATTCAAGGCCAGCTTGGTCTACAGAGAGAGAGAGAGTTTCAGGACAGCCAGAGCTACACTAAGAAAGCCAGTTTTAGAAAAAAGCAGCCAGCCAAAGTCACTGCAGAAAGAGAGAAAGAGAGGTACTGGGCATGAATATGAGCTTTGGCTTCCGCTAGAAACGTTCATCTATTGGGATCCTGGTGCAGAGCTGCTCACTGGGTGAGATGATGGACTAGCGTGGTCCCAGCCCTCAGGAGGGCTCACCTTGTAGGAGGGCAGCAGACACTCTGTACTTACTGCTGATGGTCGACTACGGTGGTCCCCACCCTCAGGAGGGCTCACCTGTGACTTAGAGCATGGGGATGAGTGAAAAAGGGAAGGTGGTGGGGTGGGGCTGATAGAACAGGGAGGAGAAAGTGCTGTGGCTCACAGAAAGCATAACACCTGGCTGGGAAGGACGGGTGCCCTATGCCCGCCCTCAGGAGGGGCCCATGAGAGAGAAAGCTAATCCTGGATGAGAAAGTGCCTGCTGGGAAGGCCCTGAATGACCGGAAAAGGGGTTTTAATTAGAGGACAGATACACAGCAGAAGTAGTTCTGTGGGAAAGCAGACAACAAGCTTCTAGAATATTCTTTTTGTGGTTCTGAGCACACTCTTCCAGAGGGGAGGGACTGGACGTTAAGCCATCTGTCCCATTGTCTCCGTTCTTGTAGAAGACACAGTTTTGGCAGCTTCCTCACCTCTCCTATTTCTACTCATTGTGGGACCTGGGCAAGCCAGGCTGGTCTTTCCTTATATGACTGATGGACTTATAGACACTTGATCATGGCCACTCTGATTCTTCTCTTGTCTGACCTCAGGGTCCTCAGTTTGTCAGAACATCCCTTATTGGACAGGCCCTCTTCTTTCATTCTTAATCTGCTTTCCTTTGGATAGATATGTACAAACAGCCTCTAGGATATTCTGGAAGACCATAGAGAAGGGCGAGAGGCTGACAAGTGTATCCAGCAGTTGAAAGACGTGAAGAGGGGTAAAGTCTGAACAGAAATAGCCTGGGGCCTGTGTTAGCTTGGCAATGACTTCTACCCTGAAGTGGTTAGAAACAGATTAGCCAGGGTCGAATGCCTCGTGTCAAGTGGATACACAGCAATGACACAAACATCATGTAGTTATGTATTTAAAAATTATGTGATACACGGTATGCATTACTGAACACCTCTTGTGTGCCGAGTACCGTCAGTTTCTTTACACAGTTCCTCAAAGAAGCCTTGCCAGTTGCCTACTCAACAGGTGAGCAGGCAAGATTTCAACATGGACCCATTACCTAAACATGACAATGAGATGGTTTTGCAGGGTAGCCAGCAGCGAGAGAAATTTCCGCTCGGAATTTCTGTCTGTTCTTACTCTGCCTTGCCTTTTGGTTCAAACCTTGCACTGTTACAAGGAAGGAAGATATAAATTGAGACAGAGTTTTCAGGGTTCTGATGGCCGAGCACTGGGTCAAAAATAGACTTGGGCATCTGCGACATTAGGGAGCTGCATTCCCAGGTTGCCTTAGGTTTTCCTCCATGTAGGGACTTAGGCATATGCCAAACCCCTCATTGACCTCAGTACTGATGGTGGATTTTGCTTTCTATATCTGTTGTTTTGGTGCATGAGGCTCTGCATATCCTGAGGGACCTGTGACCCTCAGGATCTAAGTAATACCGGCCCCACCCCAGTTTCCTCCTTTATCTGAGTTTCTTGCCTAGGTCACCCCACCTGTCTTGGTTTCTAAGATCTAAACACCAGAAACCTGAGGACAGTCATATAATTCCCAGACCCCCTGAGGAGCTCTAGGCCAGCTAACTCTCCTCTCTTCTTTTCAAGTGAAACTATAGTGCTGTCCCTTGCCCTTGTCCCTCCACTGCCCTGGTTCTGACTGACCCACTGTTTCCTCTTCTACACCATCCCTGTGATCTGTCCCTCTCTCTTGGGAGCTTGAGGACAAAATAATCATTTCAATAGTCTGATGTAACCAAAGCAAAATTTCTACTAATGCTTTAAGTTTTTACTCAATCCTTTTGTCTATCTCTTGACCTAACCTCTTGCCTATCTCTAGAACTAGGGCATCCTAAATGATGTAGAAACAACCACACACCACCTCCTATTTTGTCCTCAGTGAAGAGGAGACCCTGTCATCTCTACTGTAGAGGGGGGGTCATCTGGACACTGCACCATCTAGGCACCTCCAGTTAAGGATATAGACTTGGAGTTGGATAGACTTGGAGTTGTTGACTGGAAGTCAGTCTTGTGTCTGGCTCCTGAATTTATATTTCTAACATTTTGCTCACCCTCTCTATGGCCTGCATGCAGATTGACTAAGAACCCCAGGGAAACAGACTAACCTTTCTCCAGTTTTCCTGTGCCAGGCAGCTGGATATCCGGTGTCTGTCCTCCCCTAGGTCTCTGAGAGACTAAGGTTCTTTGTGCTTCACTGCGCCGCTTCAGGAAAGCAAAATATCACCGAGCAACCAGGACTATTATGTCCTTGCCGTGCAAATGTCCTCGTGCCCAGAACAAAGACTGAGAACACACACCCAGACATTTGCAATCTGAAAGAACTTACCCCAAGCTTTGCAAGCAGTAAGAGAAAGTCAGGCCAGAGGGGAGCCACATTGTGGACGGACAGGACTCTGTGGGTCTGTGAGGTATCTGCTGCTTTAGCAATGCTTCTACTGTGGACCCAGGGACCTGCCTCCTTAAGTTTTCATCAACCAGGGCAGCTATGTAACCTAAGATGACACAAAAGCTCTCCTCTTCCAAAGAGCTTCCTGGGTGTCAGTTGGGACCTCTAAGCCACACCCACTAGGAGTTTAACCTCTTTTATCTGGTCCGGTCCGTATCCAATACTCAGATTACAAACAGCCAGACTCCCATCCAACAGCTTCTTATGTACGTGCTTCTCCCTACAATGCTCTCGCTGTCACCTCAATGCACTTTGGACTCTTAGGAGCAGGCAGCAACAGGCAGGTGCCTGCAGGTAGGGGGAAGTTTTGGTCTGGGCTCCTTATACAAAGCAGGAAATTGTTACATCATACTCACACTGCTCAACTGGAAAGTAAGGACACATTGCTCAGTCTCCCTGGATTGGCATTTCTTAGACTCATGCTCCATGCTCTCAAGTTTGGAAGGAATCTCACTTTCCATCAACCTTCAGTATCTGCAGTATTTATACCAAGTGACCTGGCCCACCACATGGCACCTTCAGGGTCAAGGACATCTACCATTCAGAACAAGGGCATATAACACAATGTTCATACAGTAAAGCTCCCCTGATAGCAATCATTGATTCTAAGAGTCTATGTATCTATGGATTCTTCAAACATTTGCGAAGTTGTGTGTCCTCTTCTTTCATAGGAACGTACAACAGCAGGTGGCGGTAGGTGGTGCATCTCTAGAATGGCTGGCTCTAGCCTGTTTCAAGAACGTCCATCGCCTCCTCATGCTTTCATGTCTGGGTACTGCTTTTCATCTTATCGTTGTGTATTTGGTGTATTTTACTTAGCCATTTATTTTTAAGTCTTTGAGATACATCACTAGGTTGTTTGTGTTTCCATTTTCATTTGATTTTAAGAATCTTTTATTACTTAAAAGTTAGAAAATTTCAATTGATTCATTTTGGAAAAAGTTCATGAACTGATAAAATAATAGATACTCTATAGTTCCTTGGGCGACTATTCTGTGAATTTAAATCCATTGATGCATATCTATGTCTTTCTAAAATGCAGGCGGCCATGACAGAACTCCTTTGTTCTGAGTCACGTAAGTCGTGTCTCCATTTTCATTTCACTTAAGGAATTTTGTCATCTGCTCCCTCTTCCCTCTGTTTCTTTAATGAATCATTGTTCATTGCAAATTATATTGTGCAGTCTTCATTATTCATACTTGTCTGATTTCTTTATAGTTTCATTCTCTATGATCTGACACAGTGAAAGAAGTTATTGCAACTTCCATATTCATATTTGTACATGCTTTATGTTTGCTAAGACTTTATTATCTAAAATATGACCTGTTTGGAAATCATTCCATAAGATGATGAAATGATTGTGGATTTTGTATCTGTTATGAAATACTCCGTAAATTTCTGTGGAGTTCATATGATGTGCTGGGTAATTAAATTCTAATATTTATTGCCTTTTTTATTTTGATGATCTCCCTATTGGTAGAGGAGGGTATTGAAACCACCCATTGTGTTTGTGTTAGAGTCCTGATATTACTGCTATTGTGTTGGTACCCTAACATTTTATGAATTTGCTATCATTGTATTTTGGGATGGGTTTGTGTATTTATCAATATGTCTTTTCTGACTCCTTTTGTTATGAAGTCTCTTGAGTCAAGTATGATTATAGCTTCTCTTGCTTTCTTTCAGATTCTACTTATTTGGATGTTGTTTCCCCTCTATTTGTGGAAGTTTTTCATGGTGAGGTGAGTTTCTTGCAAGTAACAAATTGTTGAGTACATCTTTAGCAATCTAATCAGCTAATCTGTGTCTTTTATTTGGAGAAATAAAACTGTTTACATTCTTTGGTTTTTAGCAGTCTACCCTAGTTCTGCTGTTTATTGTTTTCTTCTAGTTGTTTGAATGAGTTTTGCCTGCCTCTTTCTCTTCTGTTTTCCAGAGCTTTGGCTACTCACTGATTTAACAATGCTTGATTTTTCATGATCTTCATTTGCTTATTTTCTCTTTCCTTGTGACTTAGTCTTTCTTTTCTCGTCATGGCTGATTTTTTATCTTACTTCTCTAATGCTGGTTTAGCACTCATAAATCTCTTAGTTATGTATTTTGAATGCTTTTTTCTAGTTCAGTTTTGAAGACTAACTTTGTTAGTATAAGTAGTCTAGATGGGTCATTACTTTTATTTGACAAATGAAAACAAAGAGGAAAATAACAGAATGTACTAAAATATTAGAAATCAATAAATGTTTACAAATAAATAAGTGTAATAAAACAGAATATATTCAAAAGAAAGAACTGTGAAAGAAGGGAGGGAAAATAAAATTAAACAGCACAATAAGAGCTTGTGGGATGGCTGAGTACGTACAGTCCCTTGTTGCCTGACAACCTTCATTCTATCTTCAGACCCACACCCTGGAAGGAGAGGACTGATCCCTATAGATTATATTTGTATTGTTCATCCTGTCCAGTGAGGTATTTTAGGAGTGGAGCCAATTGTAGCTCTTTAGATTCTTTGATCACCAGAATGAGCAGGGGTGGGCAGCGCCGGTGTTATCTTCGCAGCCAAACCTGGACTGAAATGATGGTGTCGTGAGCCTTTGTTGTCAGCATACATTTCTTTTGCCTGCTGGGTTGAGTGGAGTGTGGGTGGTGATATGCTTTGGTGTTACAACATACACACTGAGGGTTTGGAGTGGTGTGAGATTGAAATGTTCCCCTCCCTCTACCACCATGTAATCCTGGAAAGCCCCCCACAGTCACATGACCACTTTCTCACAGAAAAACAAGCTCTCAAGGCTGAATTGTCAATCTGCCAACAGAAATTTTCTGGGGTTCCATGGAGACATGAAAATGTTGGAAGTATTTCTTCCAGAATAACAGTCTTAGACTCTGCTTCTTTCTTACCATGACCACATCTCCACTGAAAGTATCCTGATGAACATGTGAGTCTCCCAAATGGTTATTTATAATCCCCAGTCTACTCAAGTTAACCCCTGTGGTATTACTCGGTCTAGATCGGCTGCTCATTTATTTGTCTCTTGTTAACTGGGTCATCTCTTTTGTGCTTGTCATTTTTGCATTTAATATTTGATAAAGGATCTACAAAAAAGAAATAAACTGATGTAGATGGCATTTGTGAGTAAACATGAGCATGCTAGTTTTTCTGTTACTCTGATGAAACCCCCATTCGTGTGTGTGTGTGTGTTAATGGGCTTGAATTTTTCTAGTATAGGATATAAATGAGGCTTTATTCTTTTTGTTCTCACCTGAATCCTAAGACATCATCTGTACTTATCTTTACAAAGGGAGTAGTTCCCACATCCCTATATCCTCTAGTTTTAAATATATGTCCTGGGAGGTTCCATGTGATAATGAACTACTCAAAGCTCAGTCGGTCCTCAAATACCTCAATACATTTGTTGAGCAGGCTGACGCTCATTAATGTGTCTCTTTTCTGTACTCCCAACACGTAACCCATGAGTTATGTGATTGTTTTTGTCTTTGGATTGTCCTGGTGAACAGAGAGAATGTTTAGTTTATTCTTGCATCTCCTCCCAGATACCATGTTTCCAAAATTATCATGGATGGATGGATGGAGCTGGCCAATATATGAACTACTGGTGAGTTCAAAGATTCACCAACAACTACTTAGATGATTGGGTGAAAAGTTACAGATGCTGGTTGAATGGCTCATAGATTATGATCAAATTGAAAGTTATTGACAAGTTCTGGTGGCTCTATATTAGATCAAGAGAATGGTTTCAATGAATTGGATGGAGGGATGGGTAGATGGAAGGCAATAAATGGATAGGTAGTTAATTTCTTTGACTCTTCACAGAGTTGTCTCTGAAAACAGAAAAGTAGGTTGTAACTGTTATAATTTAGATAGCCTGTAATCAGCCAAGGTAAGTTATGACACCTTTCATAAAATCTTTGTACAGACTGTCTCCATCCTCAGTGTTCAGAATGTAATGTGGGAATGTAGACTTTTAAATTCTTCAAATACATTTGGCAATAAGACTACAACATATTAAATTTTGAAGGAACTACGGCATTGTTATACAACTTTTACTATACTTTTATTGTGTGCTTTGTGACATTTGATATTTTTTTGTTATAAGAAAGAGATAAAACCAATCTCAATAATATTAGAAGGCTAATACTGTTTCTTCCAAGAATCAAGAAAATGTCCCAGATAGCTTCTTTAAAACTACAGAAGAGATGGCACCTAGGGTGAAAGGCTGGGTGCCACTAGGACAGGCACACCTGCCGATTTTAGTACAGTCACCCAGAGCTCTTCTTCTGTCTTCCGGTGAAGGCAGTGAACCATGGCAGCTGATGTGTTTTTACAACCAGCCGTAACAGCAATTTTCTTCAGTACTTCATAGGCCACAGCAAAGGTCAAAAATAATATTTATACCTCTGTCAATATAGCCCAGAGTTCTATCAGTACCCACTTTCTAATGACGGTGCATGTTTGTCCAAAACATGCAATACCAGCAGGTGTGGGTTCTAGGTCCCTCAGAGTTTTGCATCTGTGTCTGATTGGAATTTGATGCAGACTATTTAAATATTGGAGCCTGTGTTAACTTTATAATTTGCTAAATGGAGCAGGGCAAGGTGGTACACACTTTAATCCCAGAACATGGGAGGCAGAGGCAGGATGATCCCTGTGAGATTTATGTCAGTCAGTTCTACAGAGTGAGCTGCAGGACAGTCAGGGTTACATAGTGAGACCCTGTCTTAAAAAAACAAACAAACAAACAAAAAACAGAAACAAATCATCTGGTAAGTGAGCACACCATTGTGAATGTGGGTGGGTTAAAAGAAGCCACGTGCAGTGTGGTGAAGAAAAAACCTGAGAATTCTACTGTCTGGTGCAGAGCCACTTCCCCTATGCTCTGGCCAGGTGGCTTTACCACTGATGTATGGATCATATCTGTCTTATGAGGAGAAGTTATACATGTGATGTGCTCAGGAAGGTGACCCTTGATTCACACCAAAACTTACACAAGAGTGCATGCAGTGTGTCTAAGGAACACGATTCACACAAGATCACTTCAGAACTTGTAAAGCTTGGTCTAGATGTGAGCCCCAAACAAACTCTATCCATTGACCTTGTCAACTGCTTCCCCATGGCAAGAAAGATCCATGAGGAGAGAAGACAAAAGGGCACAGAAACTGCCGAGCATGGAATTTACCTCAGCCAAGGGCCTGGTGTTCTTTTTGAATAGGCCATCAGTGAGGGCCACTTCACTTTCAGAAATAGCCCTGTGGAAGAGATTCTTGGCCAAGGGAGACAGCACCACTTAGAAGAAAGTAGAGGAGACTTTATACTCATAGTGACCCATAGACTTCTATGGGACCAGGGTTTGAACTTCATATGATCACCTGATGACAAACATGAAACCTCACGCTTGCTTCTGCTGATTCCTAACCAACGTGGCATGACTTCAGTGGCCCCACATGGCAGTCAGTGCACCAAATTTTATCTGTCCCTATAGCTGAACTTCATTAGGACATCCCTCTGGAAAGATTCACAGAAAACATTCAAATATTCAGAAGAAGGCAAAACTGAAAGACAAGTCCATTCCAACAGACAAGTGTTCACAAACTGCGTGTCAAAGCAGAGAAAAGAGACTACTAAGCAAATGTAAACTGTAAGCAAGAAGGCATAACTATCCTTAGAGCTGATAGAGTATGCTTCAACTAAAACTAATTAGAAGAGATTCAGCTAGAATATACTGCAATTATGAAGCAAACATTTGGAGCCCCATAATCTCTTTGATGTTAAATCAATTAATTTATTTTTAAAAACTATCTTTTCTCATTTTACATACCTATCTTACTCCCACTCCCTCCCCTCCTCCTGCTCCCTCCACCCTCCCACTTTTATACCCGCCATTTACTCCTCAGAGAGGGTAAGGCTTCTCATGGGGTCAACAAAGTCTGACACATCACTTTGAGGTGGGAAAAACACCCTCTCCTCTACATTTAGGTTAAGCAAAGTTTCCCTCCAAAAAAAGTCAGTTCAAGCAGTAGAAATAAATCCTGGTCCCACTGCCAGTGGCCACAAAGATTGTCATCCACATTCAGAGGGACCAATTTGTTCCTATGCAGGTTCCCACACTGTCCATCCAGAGTCAGTGAGCTCCCACTAACTCCTGTCAGCTGTTCCTATGGGTGTCCACATCATGGTCTTTACCACTTTGCTCATATTTTTTTTCACTTTGCTCATATTATTACTCCTCCCTCTCTTGAACTGGTCTCTGGAATCTCAGCCCAGTACTTAGCTATGGATCTCTGCATCTGTTTCCATCATTTGTTGGATGAAGGTTCTATGATGACAATTAAGATAGCATGGAAAGAAATATCTTCATTGTGGGAGCCATTATGGGGCTACCCTGAAAACTGGCACCTGAGAAATTCCCGGGAATCCATCAGGATGACTGCAGCTATAGATTAAGATAGTGCTTGAACTGGCCTTCACCAGTAGTGATGACTACCTAAATTGTCATGATGGAGCCTCATAATTTCATGAAACAATTGCTAAAAGGCATAAAAAGCCATCTAGGACATAACACAATAATACTGGAGGACTTCAACCCCAACTCTCATATTTAGAAATATCTTCCAAACTAAACCTAAGCAAAGAAATTTCAGAGCTAAAATACAGGATGGATCAATATGGACTTAGCAAATTTATACAGAATATAACAACAAATGCCTTTTAACTGCAATTGGAACCTTCTCCAAAACCAATCTTAGCTACATTGGAAACTTCTCCAAGCCATTCACACCATAGCACACAAATAAAACCTTTAGAAGTACAAAGAAATTGAAATTATCCCATGATCTAATGAGATCTCAATGAAATAACAGTAGAAATCAATGACAAGTATTTAAAGTTATTATCTTAAGGAGCACAGAAATATTACAAAATCAATATGCATGCAAATATAGTAAAGTTAATTAAATTTGTCCATAGACACATTTCATTTTATTATCAGGTTGTAACAATGTATGGAGGAAACTGAAGTT